TAAACCACCCTAACCCTAAACCCTAACACCTGACACCCTAAACCCTAAACCCTGAAACCCTAAACGCTAAAACCCTAGACCCTGAAACGCTAAACCATAAAACCCTAAAGCCCTAAAACCCTAAAGCCCCTAAAACCCCTAAACCCTAAAACCCTCAGCCTCCTCAAGGAACCCTCAAGCTCCCTGAAAGGAGCCCCCGTTCAAGATCCGATCCCTTCAGGGATCCTCTTGAAGGAACTCCGTGAAGGATTAGGGTTTAGGGTTTAGGGTTTTAGGGTTTAGGGTTGTAGGGTTTCGGGTTTTTTTTTGTTTAGGGTTGTAGGGTTTTAGGGTTTAGGGTTCAGGGTTTATGAACCTTTAGAAGAATCCTTGTAAACGAGCCAGAGTTTAGGGTTAGGGTTTAGGGTTTAGGGTTCCTGAAAGATCCAACTTTCAAAGCAATCTCTGCAGGAAGACTCCTTTTTCAACCGGAACTGCAAGACTACCTTGAAGATCCCCTTGGAGGGGACCCGAGTATGGAACACTGAAGTACCCTGTAAAGGGGGCCTTCTTGTAGAAGCCGATGGAGCCCTCTGACTGCAGGGGGCCCAAGGCCCTAAACACGATCCCTTTGAAAAGAATCCTTTAAAAGGAACCCCCCTGAACCCTATATAAGCCCTAAACCCAAACCTGACAGGATCCCCGTAAACGGAAATCCCTGTCGAAAACCACCTTAAAGATCCCTTGAAGGAGCCCTTTCACTCATTTAAAAGGAACCCTCCTTAACCCTACACCCTAAACTCTAAACCCTAAACCCTAAACCCTAAACCCTAAACCCTAAACTCTAAACCCAAAACCCTAACCTGAACCTCAAAGAATCCTTAAACGGAGCCCTCTTGAGCCGACCCGTAGCTCCCGGTGCAGGAGCAGCAGTGCTCTTGGCCAGGCACTCGGAGCGGATTTCCGGTCGCCTCAGGTAAACAGGGCTAGGGTTTAGGGTTTAGGGTTTAGGGTTTAGGGTTTCGGGCTCTCTAGTAGGTCCTCGGTCCTCTTCGGGTTATGCCAGAGCTTAGGGCTCTCATAGGGTTTAGGGTTTAGGGTTTAGGGTTCAGGGTTTAGGGTTGAGGGTTTAGGGTTTAGGGTTTAGAGTTAAGGCTTGACAAATGGTTTTCCGGCAGGCTTTTGAGAAGGTGTTCGGGATTTTCCTTAATCTACCATAACCTACTTAGTTTTTCGTAGGTTCTTAACAAAAACCCTATATGGACTTCCTAGGGGCCCTACCAAAAAAAGTAAGTTTTGGTAGGTTAAGGTTGGTTTTGAGGCGAGATTTCTGTGTGGAGGTGTTTGGCGGCCCAGGGCGCTCTGGTATGGTTTTGGGTGCTCTTCACAGAAGCGGACCTTTTAGGGTTAGGGTTTGGAGTTCAGAGCTTTAGTGCTTAGGGTTTAGGGTTTTAGGGTTTAGGTTTAGGGTTTCAGGTTTATTGACTCGGGTCTTTGGGCTTTCAAGAAGGGTGGACTCCCACTGTAGCCTTGGAGTTGGACAAAAACATTACAAAACCCTACACAATGGATGCAAAACCCATAACAATCCTACAAGACCCTTCAACCTAAACCTAAACCTAAACCCTTATTCCTCGATCTTACATCCAAACGCAAAAAGACTCGAGCGACTGCTCCGAGATGCGCCGGGATCCTCCCGCGCAGGCGCGGCCAGCGACATTATAGACGATGGTATCTGGGAGCCTCAAACGAGTTCAATGCAAGGTGTAGGGTTCAGGGTGTTGGGATAACATTTGTACGGTATATAGACAAAGATTAGTTATCTGGGAGCCCCAAATTAATCCTCTACCGGGAATTGAGAATGAGAGTATACCTTAAGAACCCAAAACCTACTTTTTTGTAGGGTCCCTATACATCCCATATTAGGGTTTGTAGTAAGAACCTACCAAAAAAGTGGGTTTTGGGTTCTCAAGGTAGGTAGAAGTAAGCCTCGAAGGAGTCCACATCGTCTTTTGAAGGACCCGGGTGTCGGGTTGACGGTCTTCTTCTAAAGGACCCGGAGTTTCAACATCCGAACATGCAATTACGGTTTAGGGTTTAGGGTTTAGGATTTAGGGTTTAGGGTTTTGGGCTTAAGGTTTAGGGTTTAGGGTTTAGGGTACCACAGAACTCCAAGGTCTTGACAGCTTCGGGGCACCTAAACCCTAAACCCTAAACGTGCAAGAGGGTTTTATAGGGCGAAGGCCTCGAAGATTCTAGAGTTTACCCTAAACCCTAAACTCCTAAACCCCAAACTCCTAAACCCTAAACCCAAAAACCCTAAAACCCTAAGCACATACTCGTAGGGTTCTGGGTTTCAGGGTGTAAGGCTCCGGGGATTCTTGCTCTGCTCTGTTTTAGCGGCCCGTGGGTTGAGGGTTTAGGCCCTGCTGCTCCCATGACGCGACACCCTAAACCCTACACCCTGAAACCCTAAACCCTAAATTCTGAAAGCCTACACCCCAAACCTTGAAACCCTATACACCCTAAATCCTGACACCCTAAACCCATGACCAAATCAAAACCCAAAGCTCGAAACACTAAAGCGAGTGTGAGCCAGGTAGCAAGCCCACGTGCCGCAAACCGGCAACAGCTTGCAAGGCGGCTTGCCATGCCGCTTTCCTCAGGAGTCCAGGTACCAAGGTTAAGGGTTTGGGGTCTCGGGTTTACCTTAACCTACCAAAACCTACTTGTTTGCAAGGTCCCTATAAAATCCATATTGGGATTTATAGTAAGGACCTACAAACAAGTAGGTTATGGTAGCTTAAGGTAGGGTTTGCCTTAACCCCATTTAACCTACCCTTTTATGATTTATTGAACGAATCCATGAGGAGGGTCCCCTAGAAAAGGTAGGCTTCCGAGGGTCCAGGTAGGTTTAGGGTTTAGGGTTTAGGGTTTAGGGTCGAGGGTCCAGGTAGGTTTAGAGGACTGAGATGAGAAGCCCAAACCCCGCAGGCTAAACCCGCATCAAGAAATGTGCAACGCCTGAACCGCAGTTCCTAAACATAATGTAGGGGCCTTAATATTAATAAGGTGCGTGGGGCGTTGGGTATACTATAATTGTAATAAGGACGCCCCCCCCCCAAAAAAAAAAATAAAATAAAGTAAATAAATAATTATAAATAAATAAATAAATAAATAAATATGTATATATATATATATATATATGTATAGCAGAGTCAATTATTTAGGCCCCTACATGCATGAGCCCGATCCATACTGAACCCGAAGCTCTGTGACCCAACCCCCAACCCAAAGCAACAAACCCGAACCTCAACTCCTTCAACGTGCCTCCAGACTCGAGAAGAACAAATTTAGGTTGCTCAGCCCCCTAAACCCTGAACCCCAAACCCTAAACCCTGGGGTTGCGCCTAGACCCTAAACCCTAAACCTAAACTCTACACCCTAAACCCTCAACCCTGGGGTTGCCCCTAGACCCTAAACTCATAACCCTAAACCCTACAGCTTAAAACCCAAACCCTGACCCTAGACCCTAAACTCCTAAACCCTGAACCCTAAACCTTAAACTTGAACCCTAAACCCTGGGTCGCCCCCAGACCCTAAACTCCCAAACCCATAACCCTAAACCTTAAACTTAAACTCTGAACCCTAAACCCTGCGGTCGCCCCTAGACCCGAAACTCCTAAACCCTTAACCCTAGGGTTGCTGTACAGAAAGAAAGCTCGAGGCCCAGGTTTATGCTGCGGATGTGCGCAGATCTATGGAGCTCCAAGCCCACGGGCCACGGTTTAGGGTTTAGGGTTTAGGGTAGGGTGCGAACCCCCTTAAAACTTTGGGGGTTGGGTGTTTAGGGATCTTAGGGTTTGGGATGGGGGCTTAGGCGGAATTGGGGCTTAGGGTTTAATCCACAACCCAAAGCCCAGACCCCAAACCAATACCCCAAAGTCAGCCGAGCCACTTCGCCCAAACAGAAAGTGTTTGGGTGAAGTCCACAATGTCTGCCTGCCGACTTAGCGTGTACTCTAAGGAACTGGATACTTGAAACATGCTGTTGTGGTTTGTGATAGTATAAGGTAAAGCACAGAACCCTACTACGGTTATTGGCGGTATGTTCAGAAATGCTTGCCAGACGACTTATGCTATACCTAAACGGTTCCTTAACTGGTTCAAATTTGCTGATACCCTGAACACTAAACCCTCATTTGCTGGCTAGAGCCGGGGCTCTGTCTACAGGATGTTCGTTTGCTTGGAACTGGTGATCACTTTTTCCGGATCCTTTGATTAAGGACCTTTGATTAAGGACCCGACCATTTCATCTAAAATCCGTATTATATTAATCCCACACCCTAATACCTAAATGCCTACAACCCCTACTTGGAGGTTCAGGGGACTTCGTAAGTGAGTTATAGGTAGGGTTATCATTGGGGTAACTCCAATTAGGGTGCCTATAAACTCTACTTATAATTAACCTACTTGCTAAGCCCTAAACCCTAAACCCTAAACCCTAAACCCTAAACCCTAAACCCTAAACCCTAAACCCTAAAGGCCTCCAAGTACAACCCCCAAAGACCTAAACTCTAAGGTTGACACCATGGGCCCCTAGTACGGGCCCTTAACCTAGGACCCTTATATACCTACAATATACCCTATATGTACCCTATATGTACCCTAGAACCCCCCCTAAGGGCCCATATTAGGGGCCCACTTCTAACCTTGGATAAACAATGAACCCTCCTAACCTAGGTAACTCTCTTTGCTGAGAGTATATCGCTCTGAAGGAAAATGTTGAACACGAGGTTTGAGGCTCAGGAGCCACCGCAGAGTAGCACGCATTGCATGCTCTGGAGCGTCTGTGGGTCCCGTTTGAAACCTTCCCAACAAAACCGTCACAAAGGCCAAATCAGGGCGCGTGTGCTCGGCACTCCGCCTTTTGCTTCTAGCAAGAGCAAATGTACTTGACGTCAGAGTAGGTCTTCTTGATTTCAGCACTGAGGCGCAGTTCCACGTGTACCACGGCCCACACCGATGTTCTTCTCGTCACCAAGCACAGCCCGGCAGTTTGGCCCCATCTCCGCACGGATTTCCAGCAGTGAGTACTCCGGGAGCGCCCTGCCGTCCTCGCCCGTGATGCTCAGCTCCAAGGATTTGAGACCATCTCCCTGCTTTGCCTGCATCGCCGGACGCCCCAGCTCCTTACACACCCTGTTGATGGCCTTCACCTCTTCCATCTTCAGTCCCAGGTAGACATGCTCTTCCCCGTACCGGCTTTCGTTGCCATTGGCCTTGCTTGCCAGAGGGTGGGGTTCAGGCTTTAGAGTTTAAGGCCACCCTTCAAAGTGCCGGTTAGGGTTGACCTTGACCCAGTCGAACCCTTGTCTTGTAGGGTCCTTAGCAAAGCCACATAGGTTCATAAAGCATAATACAAGCCCTTCTAACAAAACGAATAGCGTTAAGACAGGTTCTCGTTGTAGATAACCCTGAACACTAACCCCTAAACCCTATAACCCTTCAACCATCTGTAACCCTAAACCCCTACATAAACGCTCTAACCCCAAACCCAAAATCCTATCACCATCCATAACACTAATCCCTATAGCCAAATAACCCTAAACCCTAAGCCCTAAAACCCTGACCCCTACACCACATAGCCCTAAACCCTAAATCCGAAGCCCTACACCTAATATAGGGGCCTTGATAATTAGAATAGGATAGCATAGGGCTGTGTGGCCAATTATACTATAGCTAGCTAAAATAAGGAACCCCCCAAAATACTGTAGGTAGCTACGCCCTGAACCCTAAACCCTAAACCGCCGAACCCTAAACC